AAAAAAAAAGTACAGGAACCTAGTGCATAAATAGGAGAAATTCTATTCCTCCTTTGGATAATCCATAGCTTTTTCCATTCAAACAAAATACAGGACATCTCTCACATGTTGGAGCATGTTCACACATGTACACAGGTATAAAAGAAACATATTGAAGGTATGACCAAAGAAGAGGCAAAATACAGAAGTTTCCAGAAAAGGAGGCAAAAACAAAAGCAAAGATATCCATTAACAAGGCGATAAAAACAAAAGTGGGGAGAGGAAACTGCTGTTTCCCATATTGATGGTAAGAAGAAGAGCCCCCGCCTTTATTGACTGGCGCCTATTGCAGCTGGGCTGTTTTACCAGTAAGCAACTTAAACAACCTTAAATGGCCTCTTTTCTCTGAAAATTCTCACTACACTTTCCCAAACTAGAAGAAAGAGAATATTAACTTAAGGCTAAGAAGAAAAGAGAGCAGAGAATTATAGTTGGCTTCACATTTTAAAATGTAACATTTTCCACTTCTTTAAATGGGAAACAGACATGTTTTATCGCCCCCAAATGTAATAATTCTCTTCCTCCCCAAAATTAATCAAGGCTGATAGTTTGGGAACAGGGTATAAGCAACTTCTGAAAAATGGCTCCAGCCTTTTTGTTTGGGAAATTGCTTCGGATTCAAAGTTGGTACAAAGCTAAATTATATCCATGTGTTAAACACATGCTTTCAAATTCTGTTTGACAATAAAAATCTGTTTCAAAATTAAAGCAGGTAAGAATACTAAACCTCTGTGCATTTTATTATATTTTAATTATACCTCAATAAAAATTTTATAAACATTAAAGCAGGTATACAAAAACTGTCAGCCAAACTTATTTAAGTCAAACTTATTTGAAAACAATAACACAAAAACCCTGACCTGGTATAAATCTCCCAGAAATGGTCTCATTTTGGGAAAGGCTCTGGGATCCTTCACAAATGCCTATGCTGAGAGAATCAGAGCATTTTCCTTGAAAGTAGTACTTTTTGTAAACACTATCCAAAAGTTAGCCTTTTAAGCTTGTTAGCTGGGTGAAAGAGTTACAAGTGTGTCCTCAACAAGCAAGTCTAAGAACAGGCACTGGACACTTATAAGCATCAGGTGTATTGACTTGGTAAATTAAAATCTTTTGAAAGGAACTCAACCTTCCACAGAGCAAAGGAAGAAGGTAATGAGTCTGACAGTATTTGAGATGTTGGTCCCTGGTCTTTCCCTGAGGAGGGTTTCCAGACACCAGTGGAGTTACAAACTTCCTACAGACAGGAGTTCTGGGAGTTATATCCTGTAGCTTCAAAAGATAAGAAGTTTTAGTGTCTGATAATCATGGTCTCTTGTAAATCCATTAACAATGCAGATTCTTAATACATATGCATATCAATGTATTAATATAACTGGAAAGTTGCCCCAAAGTATTTACTGAATACTCTGGGCCCAGTTGTTCTCAACAATCTCTGGCCAAAAAGAAAAAAAAAGAAAAAAAAAACTGTGGACAATCTGCAATTCTTATAATGTGCTTGTGAAAACTAGACTTGAAACTGGTTCAGAAACTGCAAGCCAATTTATTGTGGAAACATTTTATTCTTTTCTCTATAATTTCTCCCAACATATGTCAGAATCCTTTTAATGTATGGTTTTTCCACAATATATGAAGCAAAGGCAAAGACTGAGTTATCCTTGGAAACTGTCAATCACCTTTGCATTGAACTGTGAGAAAGAGGATATGTCTTGCTTTTACTGTGGGAATCCCGTCTAGAGTCGTGAGGAGGGTTTTCCCTGTCTGAGCTGTCTCTCCTTACCTTGACTTTCTCTTTACTCCCATCACTTTCTGCTTCTGAATCACTCAGCTCCAAATCTGGGCAATAGCCATCGTTTTCTTGATATGGAGCTCTCCCTGCAGACCGCCTGACAAGCTGCTTGCCCCAGAGCTGCTCCCTGGGGTTAATATTCTTGGTTGGCTTCCCATAGCACTGGAGGTCCTCTGTGGTCCTCACACACCTATTGGTGGTCTCCTTAAAGGACCTGCTGAAGTGTTCCACGGTAGATTTTCTAAAGCTGCTGCCCTGACTGGCCAGGTGGGAGCTGAGCATGGACTCCTGGCCACGGAACATCTCACTTGAACTGTCTTTTTGGGTGACATCCCCAGACCAGCTGCCCTCCAGGCCATTTGATTTGGCAACCTTGGAGTTAGGCTGACTTTTCCCATTCCCAATGGAAGACTGCCCATGAAGGGCAGTGTGAAGGACCAGAGGCTTTCCCTGTGACTGCCCATGACAGAACTCCGAAGATGGAGTTTTCCAAGCAGGACTGGGATCCTTTGTTTCACTCCTAGAATGGTCAAGACTGGCCAGCAAACAGTTATTCTTGCTCTCTAATGGATACCTCGGGTATGATTTCATTCTCCTGTCTAGTGATTCCTGAGGCACTTGCGTGCTCCTTATATTTTGAACAGGGGAGTTGCTGTCAGGAGAGAGGGGTCCGTGATCAGGCTCCATGGAGCTGCTTCGGCAGTCTTCTGGGGCTGATCTGGGCATTTTTAACTTTAAGGTAATTCTTGGTGGTGGGTAAAACAATGAGTTTTCTAGTGCACTTGTCAAAGGAAGTCCTGAGATCAAAAAGAAAGATTCATTTTAACAACCAATTTAAATAATGGCACATGTGCTCATGGCAGAGTGGGTTCACATATCCACTCTTCCAAACATCAAACAAGCACCTGACTTTGATACGTATGTACATCATAGTATAGCAACTGGAGTGAGCTGAAACAGAGGTTAGGGTAGGGGAAAACTCAGCAACGCCGTTTGCTGTGTGACTCTCAATCTCTTTACCTCTGTTCTCCCAGTCTGTAAAATGATCACAAAGACTAGTGTGCTGCCTCCTACATCCTCATTTCTGCCCCTTCCATTTCTGAAAAGAATGTCACCAGCAATGACACACAAATAGGGTATCCTTCTTTATGTGTCTGTGTGTGCATGCATGTGGGTACTGCACATGACATTTCAGATCCCACCCTCCAATCTCTCCTAGCTATCATAAAGCAAGTCAAACACAAACCCTCAGGAATGTAAAACAGGCTTTGGTGGGTGAAGAGTATGTGAGTATGGGTTTTATCTGGCATTAGCAGAAGTGGTAGTGGGCAGTTCCTGTGTATTTTATGTCCTTAACCTAAAAAAATCTCCCCACTATGAATGACCATCATGGAGGTGTGGGGCAGGTTTTGTGGTGGCAAAACCAGTAGAAAAGAATCATGACGTTTCTGCCAGTGGCCTGCTATGTGCGTGGCCTGGGGAATACTGGCAATCAGTTACCTAGTTTTGTCACCTTACAGTCACATTTAGAACAAATCTTCCTCTATTATTTTGAGTGCTCTAAAATGAAAAAAGCATTCCTTGAATATGGACTTGACCTTTGCTTATTACCATCTTAATGTAGACTCACAAAAATGACATAGAGGACAACTACTAGGTGCCCCAATAGGCAGCATTTGTTCCCTAAGGGTCCATGTTGAACACTCACAGCCCCCTTTTCTATGAGGGGCTTAGGGCACTGTAATTATGCTCACCTGCCTCTCTCACCAATGGACAGCATATCCTGCAGGCAGGGATTTTGTCTCACTGACTGCTCTATCTTCTAGCTCAGTTCTTAGTCCATCATAGGTGCTCAACAAATATTAGTGAATAAACGAAGACACAAGAATCCAGATCTCCTAACTTCTGGCTAAGGATTTGTTTTAACAGACTATTTTTAAGATGACTAGCCCTGGAATGAGTGTTTTCTGAAAACTAGGATTGGACACTATTTTTTTGATTTTTAAGAATCCGATGATTATAATTTCATTGTGTCAACTAATGGCCCCATATATCTTCTTGGAACCTAGATTATCTGCCCTAGACCTGCAACTCCCCCAACCCTACCCTGGGATTTCTTGTCTTATGAGTTGACGGTGAAATGGACTATGTTATATCAGGGTGGACTAGAACAAATGAGATATTGGACAAGAATTTTGAAAGATTTTTAAGTGAAACAATTGACACAAAATTTAAGTTGTTAAAACAGAATGTAACCAGAATTATACATTTTCTAGATCATCTTTGATATTTAGGTTACCTGCAGGCACTTCCTGGTTAAGAAGCTGGACTTGTAAACCGAAGATCTGTTCCTGTATTTTGTTGTGTGACAGCTTCAGCTTCTCTCTCCTGCTTATCATGTAGCATAAATTTCGGACCTGAAAGCCCAACCCCCAGGAAATAGAGATTTTTGTCATATGCAAATGTGACAATTAAAATTGTTCAGCTAAAATTTAGACAACTAAAGTCAGGTGGGGAGAGGTGGTGAGGAGAGCAGAACCCAAAAGCTGAATGAGAGCCACTCCTCAGGAATTCATGCAGCATAATCAGTAGTGGGATCATAGTTCTCATATCTATCAGCGGCACAAGCAAAATGCCCCAAAGCCACTTCCTGAAATCTACTCTCCCTGCAGTGTCCTGGACTTGATATTTATCTGCACAGCCAGGCTGGAAAGACTGAATGATGATTAAATATTTCAGCCTTCCTTTTAGATCCCTGAGTAAACAATGGCAATGCTGTATCCAGTACAATTTTGTAATGAGTGCTAGACTAGCTGGATAAAGGTCTGCTGAGAAGACTGGAAGTGGCTAAAATTTTTGCTCACTCTTTCAGCTCATCCAAGTCTCCACAACCACAAGGGTAAAATCCTCCCTCTCATACTCCCCACCTGGACAAATTATTCAATCTTTTTGTGCCCTTGTTTATTCATCTGTAAGTAGGAATAATAATAGCACTTAATAATAATACTTCATAGGAAAGTTAGGATTAAATGAATATTTACAAAATGCTTAGAACAGTGTTGCTACACAGTAAGTGCTATATATGTATGAGTTAAATTTTTAAAATGTGAGCCAAATCTATTAGATCCCTTCCAAATTCTGGTAGCATAGGAAAAAAACCAAGCCATCTGTATAATTATACTTGATTATAAAATTCTCTAGGGTAAACATAGGGCCTAACCTATCTTTGAACCCCTGCAGTAGCAACTTAGTAGATACCTGATATATATGAGTTAAATGAAATTATATGGTGCACAAGCTCCCAACCAAGGATGATTTTGACCCCCAGGGGGCATCTGATAATATGGAAACTTTTTTGGTTGTCATAACTGGGTATGTGTGTGGGGGTGGGGTTTGCTACTGGCATCTAATGGGTAGAGGGCAGGGATGCTACTAAATATCTTACAGTGTCCCCCACAACAAAGGAGAGTTCCCTACAACAAAGAACTATCCAGCACAAATGTCAATAGTGCTGAGTTTGGGAAACTCTGATCTAGTGCTTTCCTGAATAAAATTCATTCTTTTTTCAACCCGCAATCTCATTAAGTGTGTCAGTAAAATATAACTGATCCAATTTAGGCTCAACAGTGAATATAAAATAAACCACATGAGGATTTACTTCAGATTTAAGGTTCATAAAACATATGTGAGGCCTCTCTAATTCCCTGAATATGCCTGCCAAAATTTAAACTGAGCCCAATGTCTGGGGCCACAATAAAATCAGAAGATAAGCAATGACACAGAAGCTCACACTATAAATGAGCTAGCTGATCCTTAAAAAAATGGAAGTAGGACCTCCATTTCTATATAGACTGAGACCTACACACTAGTCACAGCTGGTCACCTTACCCGCTCTAGGTCTTGCCGTAGATGCATAAACATTCTCATGCGAGTGTGAATACTCTCCTCTTTTGGCTGCACTAGGCAATTTCTTTCATCCTCCCTTGGAGGAAATAATGGCTTATTGAAGTTACTTTTCCGTTTCAGTTTCCAGTAGTTATAGATAAAGTCCACAGCTAGTATGGGTAGCCCCAGCTCTGTGGCCACATCTTCCACATTGACCAGGGTATAGAAGTCTTCCTCCAGCTCCTGAAGCTTCTGTGCCCTCAGGCTGGTTTTCTCGCTTTTGGCTTGGCTCTGTTCTGCAGCCCGGTGTAGGGGGTGCTCAGCCTCCCCAAGTTTCAGCCTGTTTTGGCTGTGCTTGAGGCAGTATGATTTGAATTTCACTTCATCTCCCTCATCTAGGATGGTCTTCATTTCTAGACTGTGCTCAAAGGCACAGGTGACATGGAAAGCAGTGATGCAGCTTTTCACCGAGCACTGCAGGAAGAAAAGATGTGTCAGGGCAGCAGGGCTGAGGGGAAGGGAAGCCCTATATCCTTGGGCCTAAACTGAGAGCTCATAGGAAGCAAAGGAAAGACAGGGAGAAAGTTGGTTCTACATTGATCATGACAGGCTTTATAAGTAACCCAGGAAATCTGCTCCTATAGAACACAGCAAAAACAGAGGCAAAAAACAAAAAACCCAAAACTTCAAATTCCCCTTTAAGATTTCAGCTCAAGAATTAAGTTTGTCTGAGATATCTTCCTTGACCCCTGTAAAGAGTTATGCTGTACCTATTCTGTTTCCCACATAACCTTATTGTATGCTTCTATGACAGTACTTTTCCACACTGTGCCTATTGTATAATAAATGTCAAATCCCTCACCATGGCTCTTAAAGACAGAAGCTGTGACATTCATCACACATCAACTACTGAGCAAGCAGGTGCTCAAGAAATGCTTCTGAACAAATTAATTTTAAAAAGTCAATTATTATTGCCAGAGCATCTACTGGTTCTAAAAAAGGCTACAGAAACTCCACTAAGTATCCTAACTTCTTGAAATTGTTCTTATAGAGCTATGCTGTCCAACATGGTAGCCAATTAGCTACAAGCAGCTATTTAAATTAATTAAAATTACACACAATTAAAAATTCAATTCCTTAGTCATACAAGTCACATTCCAACCATACTGAACAGCACATATTTCTATAACTGCAGAAAGTTCTATTGAACAGTATAATTACAGACAATCTGAAATTAAGTTTATAATATTTTGCCATTCACAGATGCGACATATTTGTTAAGTGTCTCTGTGTAGCACACACTGAGGATTCATAGGGACGCAGAGCAGGGAGAATCTGGCCCATGACTGCTATACTCCTGTGCTTCAGTTAGTCTCAATTACCATTTGTTACGGTTACAACACTACAGCTTTCCTTTCAAACATAAATGCACGGGTACATTTATGTTTATGGAGAGGAAGGAGGGAAAACAATGGATTTGTTTCTAAGCATATAGTGGGAATGCCTATGGTTAAAGTCAAGTTTCAACTCTTTTGGAAGCCTGCATCTGGAAGGCAGACTGCTCAATTATCTATGTGTTGGGTTTTTGAAAACTAAACATAGAGAATGAATTTGGATATGAATAAAGACTAAAGAAATGCAAATCCTGATGGGTTTCCTTATAATAGATTGAGAAATTCCACAACTAAGAGAATTCTGACAACCATCAAAGCTTTAATGGGTGGGGGTGGGCAGATTCCATTTAAACTAATTTCACAGGATAAAGAATCCCAGGGATGAAATATAATTCTAAGGTCATCTTACCTAGCATCACATTTATCATTGCTTGTACCTGATTTTCTATCTTTACTGGACCCCCACCTCTAACTCCTTCCACTTTTTAGTTAAGTGGTAATCTAGCCATTTACTAGATTTCTCTAGCATTTGCCACCCCAGTGGGAAAGTTTGTTATATTACACTGAAATCTGCATGCTTAAAACTTCCATGTATTTGAAAAGCCTCATGACAATGAGGATTAAAGCCCCCAATGTACTTTTATCTGGGTACCTTTTATCATTGCTAGGCTAGGAAACTAGCCAGTCATTTAAAAAACAAGAAGCAAAAGGCATTCTTTAGCAAAAGATTAAATGTTAGCGTAGTGTTCTTTTGCTGTTTAATAACAGATAAAAATATGGGATGAGAAAACAAAAAGATTGTTTCCTATTTAAGAAAATGAATATGTGACATAAAACTACTACTATTGGGAAGCTAAAAACAGATCATCTCTTGGGTTGAATTTATAGAATGTAGAGACATAAGTAAAAATTACTCAGAATAAAAGGTAATACACGAATAAGAATTGGGTACCTAGATGAAAAATGTAATGTCCTTAGGAAACTCTGCCATAAAATTCATCTAGTTTCAAAAACTAAGGTCATTCTATGATATTTATAGCTCGAAGTCTATATATCTTGGTGGTAAAGGAGAAATGCCAACCAAGTTCTGGTGCCAATCAAAAACCTATTTAACCTTTTCCCCCCAAAACATTTGGCAGTTTAATTAAACAAATGTCTACTGTAACCACTTAAGGTGATAGGGGAGGTATTCTTATGCCTATTAAAAACAGCTTAATTGAGATATAATTTACATACCATAAAACTCACCAATTTTAAGTATACACTTCAATGGTTTTTAGTATATTTACAATTGTATAACTGTCACCATATGTAATTTTAGTACATTTTTGATTCCCCCCTCAAAAGAAATCTTGTGCTGATGTGCAATCATGCCCTGTTCACAACCCCAGACCTGCCCAACCACTAAGCTACTTTGTGTCTATGTAAACAGGCTGTTTCATATAATATATGGCTGTTTATATCTGGCTTTTTTTACTTAGCATGTCTTCAAGGTTCATCTACATTGTAGCATGTATCAGAATTTCATTCCTTTAAAAATATGCCTAAATAATATTCTATTGTATGGATATACTACATTTGTTTTTCCATTCACCAGCTGATGGTCATTTGAATTTTCACTTTTTGGCTTTTATAAAATAATGCTATGAACATTTGTGTACAAGTTTTTGTGTGGACATATATTCGTTTATCTCTTTGGTAATGTGCAGTAAAAGATTAACCTTGCCCAAAGAAAGATTTGATCCTTTGCTGCCAGCTCCTGAGAAGCATTCTCTAAATCCTTGGAGTGCCCTGCCTGATAAGTATTTTTGTTTACCTGGGGGTTTTGGGCCATGTCAGATAGTCTAAGCTAACAATGTGATTTATGTTGGAAGCTTTGGGCTATGTGGTATCAGCCTAATCTCTGGAGGGATCATGCGGATGGTCAGCGGTTTCTACTTGGCCAACTTCTGATAAAATCTCTGGACACCAACGCTTCAGTGAGCATCCCTAATTGGCAATACTCTGCATTATCACGCATCATTGCTAGGAGAAATAAGCACTGTCCACAAGATTCTAATTGGAGAGGACAACTAGAAGCTCCATACCTGTTCTTTCCCAGGCCCTGCCCTATGTACCTCTTTCCTTTGCTGATTTTAATCTGTATCCTTTCATTCTAATAGACTGTAACATGAGTATAATGGCTTTTCTGAGTTCTAGTGAATTATTGAACCTGAGAGTGGTCTTAGGGGCCTCTTTAATTGCAGGAATATACTAGTAAGTGAAACTGCTGGGCTGTAGGGTAACTCTACATTTAGTTTTCTAAGAAACTGACAGATTCTTTCTCACAGTGGCTGCATATTTTACATTCCCACTAGCAATGCATGAGGGTCCCAATTTCTCCACATTTTTGCCAATAACTGTTATGGTCTGCCTTTTTGAGTATCACTACCCTACTGAGTATGAAGTGGTATCTCATTGTGGTTTATTTATTTTTAAAGAGGGAAAAATAACTTTCTATATATTCTTCAGAAATTGTAGAAAAATGAGTTTTTAAAATACTTTCATTAGAAGGAAATGTGTAAGGGGAGTTTCTGTGAGATGAGAACTGCATCAGATAGAATGGTTTGAATAAAAATCTTGAAAAAGAACACCAGAGCCTGATTTAGGAATTAAGGTGCTTCCTTAAAGAAATATTTTGTCACCCACCCCTGCCAAGAGAAAAATAGTGCGTCTTCCTCAAAAGCAGATGACACCTGCCTGGAATACAAAGAGCCTGGTGCATATGTACTCAGCAGTTCTTGCCCTTAATCCCCAATAATCCATGAACAGACAAATGGGTGGTATCAGAGCAATTTTCTCAAAACTTGGTCACTGAAACAATGTCATAAATGGCACAAGTTAGCCTATAAAATCTATTTCAGCCACTGTGTACTTAAACTCTAGCACCAACAGTAGCCACTGGTCCTTCTGATCTCTCATCCCTAAAGGTCTTTAAGGTCTGAGGGGAGAAGTTGCTTCATTATTATTTAACTTTTCCCATGTTTATATCTGGCCTCCCTCAACAGACCATAAACTCCTGAAGGAAGAGATTTGAAGTGTCTTAGAACAATTTGGAATATATAAGAAAGATATTAAAGCACTTTCCCTCTTTTTAATTTTTTTTGGTGCCCTTTAATCTCAATATTTAATTTCCTTCTCTACTGAGTACCACCTTTAATAGTCATTGAGTAGATATACTTGCATTTCCTCACTTGTCAAAAATTGTCCTTTGCTTTTAAAAAGGTCACTTCCCTTATAGTCAAACTCATATTAGCCTAATGGTAAACTCATGGTGGCCCACTTGTTTATCCTGACTTTATTTGATATTCTATTCAGTTTGGCAGGATAAATGCTAAGGCTTTCCATCAAGAAAGACAGATTGACTTCAGGGAATAATAATATAAACAGTAATAACAAGTACAACTACTAGGATCACTAAGTATTTACTACTATCTGTTAGGCACTGTGCTTAGCTCTTTACCACCGTAATAAGTAGGTACTATTATTACCTCCATTACAGATGTGTCACCTGAAGCACAGATATAGTAGACCAGGATCTGAACTCCAGGAGTCTGGCTCCAAAAGCCATATTCTTATTTTTTTTCCTTTTTAAAAATAATTTATTTTTCAATTACAGTTGACATACAATATTAGTTTCAGGTGTAAAACACAGAGATTAGGCATTATATAACTTACAAAGTGATCACCCTGATAAATCTATACCCATCTAACACCATAGTTACTATAATATTATTGACTATATTCCATATGCTATACTTCACATCCCCATGATTATTTTGTAACTACCCATTTGTACTTGTTAATCCCTTCCTTTTTTTCACCCATCCCCCACAACTCCCCTCCTACCTGGAAATGATCAAAATGTTCTTTGTATCTATGATTTGTTTTATTTTGTTCTTTAGATTCCGCATGTAAGTGAAATCATATGGTATTTGTCTTTCTCTGACTGATTGAGTTCATTCAGCATAATACCCTCTAGGTCTATCCATGTTGTTGCAGATGGCAAGACTTCTTTCTTCTGGCCAAATAATATTCCAC